ATTATAATCCCCTCCATGAACCATCAGTTAACAGTATTTCTCTCTATTCATTTTAGCTTTTTTTTAAACACTCTGGAATATATCATAATTTAAACCACCCAAGGGCACATTCTGCAAGGCTGCCTCAGTCCCTCTCTTTCTATGAGAGTCCTCAGCTGCTCCCTCTTTCCATGTCCCCATTTCTGCCTCCATCTCTGGTATCACTGCTTCTCTGGGTAAGGTCTCACATTCTGCTTGTGCTCTTCTCCATTGATGGTCCTAGGATCCTTTGTTTCTGGACTGTAAGTTGAACTACTCCCTCTTTTTGTTACAAAACGTCTACCTTTACAATTGTGACAGTTGCAATTAGTCATGATAACAATTACTCACTATTGAATCATAAGAATCTTATCCCCATCTCTTTTTACCAGACCCATCTAGACAAGATGAAAACTATTCAGTGGGGACTAGCTTCCCCTGCACACTCTTAAACTAAATTCCCTCTTGAGACCTTGTAAGCCAGTCACTTTGTGCATTTATCAACCCCTCATTTTAAGTAGCCAGTGTCTAAGTTGACCATCCCTATCCACCCTGTATACGCAGGGGACTAAACAGCCCATCAAATTGTGCCCATCACCAACTGCTCCTTGGAAACTCTATACAGGGTCGCTATGGATTAGAATCAATTCGATAGCACTTAAAAACAACAACAACAACAAAGGAGATAGCATTGATAGTTGATTGATAGTTGATAGGGAAGACTCCTTCCTTCTCTGTTGGTATTTTGAGCTACTGCATCCATGAGTATAGGTCAAGTTCATCAAATTATAGCAATTTACCCTCATTTCCTTTATCAAAAAAATTTTTATCATCCTCTAGTCAAGTTCTTACTGAAGGAGGAAGTCCAAGATGCATTGAAGGAATTGGCAAAGAACAAGGCACTAGGAATTGATGGAAACAAAATTGAAATCTTTCAAGAAAGTGAGGCAGCACAGGAGGCACTCACTCATCTCTGCCAAGAAATTTGGAAGACAACTATCTGGCCAACTGATTGGAAGAGATCCATATTTGTGCCCATTCCAAAGAGAGGTGACCCAATGGATTACGGAAACCATTGGACAGTCTCTTTGATATCCCAGGTGAGTAAAGTTTTACTAAAGGTAATACATAAAAAGCTGCACACATACATTGACAGAGAACTTCCAGAGGTGCAAGCTGGATTCAGAAGAAGCTGTGGAACAAGGGGTATCATTGCTGATGTCCAATGGATCTTGGCTGAAAGCAGAGACTATCAGAAAGATGTTTAACTGTATTTTATTGACTATGCAAAGGCTTTTGATTGTGTGGATCCTGACAAGCTATGGACAACATTGCAAAGTATGAGTATTTTGTAACACTTAATTGTGCTCATGAGGAATCTGTACCTGGACCAAGAGGCAGTTGTTCGAGCAGAACATGGGGACACTGAATGGTTTAAAATTAAGAAAGATATGTGACAGAGTTCTTTTCTTTCACCATACTTATTCAACCTGTATGCTGAGCAAATAATCCAAGAAAAGCTGGGTTATATGGAGAAAAAACGTGGCAACAGAATTGGAGGCAGACTCATTAACAACCTGCGATATGCAGATGATACAAACTTGCTTGCTGAAAGTGAAGAGGACTTGAAACATTTACTGATGAAGATCAAAGAGCAAAGCCTTCGGTATGGATTACATCTCAATGTCAAGAAAACAAAAATCCTCACCGCTGGACCAATAAACAACATTCTTATCAATGGAGAAAAGATTGAAGTTATCAAGAACTTCATTCTTCTTGGATCAACTATCAACACTCACGGAAGCAGCAGTCAAGTAATCAGTGTGGCACTGTGGGTTAATGCGACAAACTGCAAAGCCGTTTGAACTGCAAGGTCAGCAGTTTAAGCTGCTCCTCAGAAACCCAGTAGAGGGTCACTATGGGTCAGAACCCACTCAATGGCACGTAACAACAACAACAACATTGCATTAGGCAACTCTGCTGCACAAGACCTTTTTTTAAAGTGTTGAAAAGCAAAGATATCAGCTTGAAAGACTAAGGTGTGCCTGACCCAAGCCATGGTATTTTCAATAACCTCATATGCATGCGAAAGCTGAACAGTGAATGAGGAAGACCATAGAAGAACTGATGCTTTTGAATTACAGTGTTGGAGGAGAATATTGAAAGTGCCATGGGCTGCCAAAAGAACCAATAGATCGATTTTGGAAGAAGTGCAGCCAGAGTGCTCCTTGGAGGCCAGGATGGCCAAACTTCATCTTTCATACTTCGGACACATTTTCAGGAGGGACCAGTCGCTGGAGAAGGGTATCATGTTTGGTAAGGTGGAGGGTCAGAGAAAAAGAGGAAGACCGCTAACAAGATGTATTGGCCAAGTGGCAGCATCGATGGACTCAAGTGTGGCAACAGTAGTGAGGTTAGCTCACAATCGGGCAGTATTTTCGTTTTGCTGTGCATAAGGTCACTATGAGTCAGTATTGACTCGATGGCACCTAACAACAACAAGTCAAGTTCTGATTATCAAGCCATTGAGGCTAGGTTAGATGGGTACTATCTACAAGTTTGAATGTTCTTATGCCTCTCCCCTCACTTCATATCAGCAGGATGCTTCACTCTCAGCTCTAGCCCTCTGTGGCTATGTCATTGTTCATGGGCTCAGGTGTCTCCAGGTCTCATCACACTTTGGACCAACCAGCCCTTCCTTTTCTCTCTTTCATCTCCAGGTCAATGGGAGTCTATAGAAAGTGGTTGAACTCAGCTCATTAAAGATTACAATTTTACTCTGTCACATTAGTCACTATGAGTTGATGGCAGCAAATTAAAAAAAAAAAATTTTATGGCGATTAAACAACATGAACAATAAAACAAATCCACTGCCATTGAGTCTATTCTGATTCATAATGCCGCTACAGGACAGAGTAGAACTGTTTCTTAGCATTTCCAAGACAGATCTTAACAGGAACAGACAGCCTCATCTTTCTACCATTGAGCAACTGAAACCTCACCTTGTGGTTAGCAGCCCTGTGCATAATCCATTGTGCTACCAGGGATCTATTTATTTATTTATGTTTTATTGTGAATTATGTGATAGTTTACATGGGAGAACATTAGTTTTACATTCATCCTATCGTATATCGTTTCATTGCCATGGTTACAATCCCCTCCTTGCATCATCAACCAACCAAAGGGTGTACACTACAAGTATGCCCCCCTGTTATCAGCACACAGCCCTTCTCCCTCTCTGTGTCTAAAGTCCCCAACTGCTCCATCTCTCCACGTCATCGTCTCTGCCTCCATCTCAGGCATCACTGCTTCTCTGGGTAGGGTCCCGCTCTCTTCTCTTCTCCCTTGATGGTCCCAGGGACCTCCATTCCTGGACTGCAAAGTTAACCAGGGATCCTTCTTGTGTTAGCAGTGTAGTGCTTATCCTACAGCACCACATCAGGACTCCTCTTATAGGGATTAGTTACTGATAAGTATATGACAAAGTAAACGAAAATAAAAATACTTGAAGAAAAAGAAAAGTAACCATAATAGTTGTATGACTTAACTATGAATAGCATTCTCAAATCCCAATAAAGTAAACACTGAATAATTAATTTTATTATATATGTTGGAAGGATGGGAAAATGGGAAGGGTGTCTGTGTGTCAAGAGAGTGTGATTAAAGAATTCTAACCTTCTGTAGTGTGAAAAGTTAATAGAAAACTCTCAAAACAGAAAAGTTAAAAGTGGCAGTACAAATATGTTATTTAGAGTTTGTTGTTAAGTGCTGTTGAGTCAATTCTGATCCATAGCGACCCTATATAGGGTTTTGGAGGAGCAGTTGGTGAGCTGGACCCACTGACCTTGCAGTTCAAATGACTTTGCAGTCTGGCACATTATCTCTGGGAAGTGGGATTTAGAATTGGGATGAAGGAACTGTTACTTATATAATAAACTTTGAAGAATGATTCACCTCTTTAATCTAAATGCATTTATTACTTTGATTAAAGTTAAAACAATATTTAAAAGTGATACATGGCAGGACCTTGGTTCACAGGAAAATGTGCTACAGGTGAAGCTAAAGAGATGGGCAAAAGTTGTATTATGACAGGCTTTTAAATGCCAGCTGCAAAAGTGTTCCTTGGGTAGGGAAGGGACAGGTTCAGACTTGTGCTTGGGGAAGGTAACTCACTGGGTCTTAGTTATATGAGACCCTAGGGATTACCCAGTAAAAGAAACTTACTTCCATAATAGACAGGGGAACTTTCTGTCTACTAAGGTGAAGAGAACTGAGTCCCCAGCCTGTTGATTCTGCCCCTCCTGAGTTCTGGCTAGCCCTTTCTCCCCTCAGCACCTGCTACCAACACCAAAAGGCTGGGTTCCCTAACTCCTGCCTTCTTTTGAGTGACACTGTAGGACAAGCACTGGCTGCTAACAGCAAGGATGATGGTTTAAACCCACCATCTGCTCTCAGGAACCCTATATAGGGTCGTTTTGAGTCGGAACTGACTCCAAGGCACTTAACAACTTTCCAGGTAACACCTAGCTCTCTATCAGGCTATGCATTGGCTAACTGTCTTAGTGGTAAATCAGGCCCCCTGGCTCAATAATTAGTATCCTAAATATGAAGTTCAAAGCTCAGTGGGATGAGATTTTAATACTTAATATTTACCGAGACCTTACTCTGAGGCAGGTATTTATGCTGACTACTTAAGAGCAGCTCAAAAACACATAGTCACCCTGTGAAATGAATGATTTAGCTCTATTTTACAAATAAGGAAACTGAGGCTCATAGAAGTTAAGTAAGTTGCCCATAGTCATAAATTAAGCTGGGATTTTTAACAGCAGTCTATTCTCCTAAAGCCCACATTCTAAACCACTTTATTTCCACACTTCTTCACAGTGAAGCATAATTGGATAGACCACAAGGTGGGGGGCTCTGGAAATATTGGAAAAACCCATAGTCCAGAACCTAGGTTAACCCTTTCTCCCACTCCCCAGGCTTACCTTCGAGCCATCGATGTGAAGATCCTACAGCAGCTGGTGGCCTTAAATGAGGGCATTGAGACAGTTCGCTGGCTGTTGGAGGAGCGAGGGATGTTGACCAGCCACTGCAGCAGCCTCACCAGCAGCCAATATAGTCTGACAGGTGGGAGCCCAGGCCGCTCAAGACGAGGTAGCTGGGACAGCTTGCCAGATACCGGCACCACTGACCGCCTGGACAGTGTCTCCATCGGAAGCTTCCTGGACACAGTGGCCCCCAACGAGCTGGATGAGCAGGGCCCCCCTGGGGCTGCTCCACCTGAGATGGACTGGGCAAGGGTGATACCCACTGGGGAGAGGGTCAGGACTGAGGTGGACCTGACAGCCACCAAACTAGGGGGATTGAGGGCTGGGTGGAAGTCCCCAAGGGAGGGGCTCCAAGGTGGAGTGCCTGAGCCACCAGAGGACGAGAGTGCCAAGCTGGGATTTGAGGTCCACTGGTACTGGGGGCAGTGCCAGGATGACGTGACCTTCTTGTAAATGTTTCCTGTGGCATCTCTTATCTCTAGGCCCTGGTCTCCCTTAAAACTCTCTCTTAATCTGGGACTAGTAAGAGGCTGCCTTGATATCAGCACTCCATGGTTTCTATGGAAACCTGGCCTCACCATCCTGTTGGTCCCTGGGGAGTTCTTGGCTTTTACCCCTTAATTACTGAGTCCCTACAACTATTTCATAAGAGACATTAACTTTAGAAGCTTGTCCTGTGGCTTCTGGTATGATGGTATCTCCACCCACCCCACCTCTCTGGTAAGGATTTGAGGAATTTAGCATTCCTAGGACATCACTGGTGAAGAGTAAGGTGTGATTACCTCACCTCACTCCTAGCTAAGGGGGAAGATTGAGGAAAGACTAGAACACTCAGGACCAACTCCCATGGATTAGCTCTCCCAGAAGCCTTTGGAGTAAGTAGAACCAGCCTTTCTGTCTGTTGAGTGATGTCATTTCCTGCCAAGAGTGATGACCACTTCCTCTATACCAGTCCTTGCTTGGTGACAGATCAGTAAAGACGTGTCTGAATCCCAGCTAAGTGACATTATACCATTACTTTTTGTGAGTGGAAATATACTACCCCTTCTGGCAGGAAATTTTCACACTTTCTGTCAGATGTTTGTGCTGGGTTTCAGAAAGGCTTCTGCTTGAACAAGCTGTTTTTATTTTAGCCTAAAGAATCTCTTTTCCTCTGTGGCTATATCTGTCTTTGGTGCCAGCATTCCTACCTTGTGCTTTTAGGAAGGGAAGCTTGCAGGGGCTTCTACCTATTCCTCTCAATAGTCAGTTTGGCCTGCCCCTGCCATAGTTCTGTCTTACCCAGGCCCTGGACATTGCTCCCATTCTTGTATTCTGGCTCCAAATCTGCCTGCCAGGAGGTTCAGCCTTTGTGTAGCAACACCTTCTCAGGTTCCTCTTCAGACTTCAGGCCTTTCATATGTAGATGAGCCCGCAGCCTACCCTTCTTTTTGCTGATGGGTGATATAGGAACTAGAGGCTTGAGGTCTCAGGTCTGTGGAAGTAAATCAGAATTTCAGATAGGGAAAAGTGTTTTTTTTCCCTGACACTGCAATTCTCCTTCCCCTACTCTGCCCCATGCCTTCCACCCTTTGGTCACAAGGGTGCCTACTGGAGGCTGGGACACAAGGAATCCCCTTGTTTGGGTAACAATGGGGGCGTGGCAAGGAAAGACAGAAGTTCTTTGGTCCCAGGGCCCACATCCAGGAAAGGGGGAGGGAGTGAAGGCAAGCCTTCTTCCTCTCTTAGAGTAAATCTTAGACTCCTGGGATCTGAAGAAGGGAGCAGGGGACTGGCTCTGGCTGGGCCTGAGTCCCAGGGCCCCAGTGAATTATACCAAAAAAGGAATTCAGGGAAGCTGCTAACCTGGGGCCCAGGGAGGGGACAAGCCCAGAGAAGGAGGGTAGGGGGCAAGAGCCATGAATGTTGTCAAAATGAAGTCTTGAAAATTAACCCTTTGAATCCAAAATAATAGCTCATTTGGTGGTACTTGGTTTTCCTGGGCCCTGACGCTAAATTACTATAAGGTAAAAGGATGCCAAGTGGTCCTTGGCTATACACTGTACCAGCCTTGTGGTTTAGACGGACCTTACAGTCCAATGCATTATCCTGCAGTGCCACTCCAGGACTCCCCTAGATGGAGTGATCTCCAAATCCTATAATAACTCCTTCAATTTCTCTGCTTTTCATTCTATGCTGGGGAAGAGAAAGAAGCCAAGTGACTACCTCTTCTACGAATACTTTTTCTTTCTTTACAAGCTACCCTAGAACTTTCGGGAGCAATTCTATATTCTCAGTTTCTCATCTACTGTCCACCAGTCCTCTACCTTACCATCCCTCCTGGTCCTCAGGCTTCTGGCCTCCCCTTGGGCTGTTTCAATCCCTTCTTTGTTGTTAGTTTGCAGTATACTCTTCGACTCATTCCTTTTTGAGGCTCACGTCTTCATTTAGTATGCAAACCTCTTAACTGAAAAGGATGCCCGCCCTCTTGTGGACATTATGTACTATTGCCAGGGATGTTGTGAATCGAGTTAATTCTGTCGTATAAGTGACCCTCCCTATTAAGTTCTGGTGTGGTACTGTGGGATAAAGTACTGATCATGGTTCAAACTCACTTGCCATTCCTTGGAAACCCTATGCAGGGTTGCTATGATTTGGAACCAACTCAATGGCACGTAAAAACAACTATAAAATAGTGAACTGCCCCGTAGGGTTTCCTAGCTGTAATCTTTATAGGGAGTCCTGATGTGGTGCTGTAGGATAAACACTGGACTGCTAACAACAGGTTGGTGGTTCAAACCCACCAGCTGCACCTTGGAAACCCTATATAGGGTTGCTGTGAGTTGGAATTGACTTGAAAGCAGTTAACAATCTTTATATGATTAGATTGCCAGGTTTTCTCTGCTGAAGTTTTGGTTAAGGATCAAACGCTCAACCATTGTACCACCAACGTTCCTCAAGGAATTCCCAACTTCAGTGGAAATAGCAGACTAGAACATCCATGCTCAAATAAGGTCAGCCTCCTCAGTGCCCAGATTGGTTAAAAACTCACTCAGGGTTATAAATTTGTTGTAACACCCACGTTAGAGAACCCAGATCTCCTGCCCATCCAGCCACAGCTCCAGCCACTTAGTCATACATCCCCCGCAACACATCACAAAGGGACTGAAAGCAATTTTCTCACACAAATACTCAGGTTCTCATCCTACCCTAGAGAGGTAGCTCAGAAAGAAAGCCAGGGTCTGGGCTGGGTAAATGATTCACTGTTCTGGTTAGCAGACAGAGATAAGGAAAATGAATCTAGACTATTTTCCCTGGAAAGGGGCAGAGCAATAGACCCAGACCTGATGGGGCAGAACTCAGAATTTCCATACTCAAGGATACCTGGAAAGTAGATAGGAGTCTGGAAGCTATGACATTAGGAAACCCAGATGGGTCCATTGGACCTGATGGTGTTGAGCTAGAGAGGTGCAATGACTGGGACTCAGATAGCATACCCAAGTCTATCTGGAGTACCCTTGCAGTACTTATTCTAAATAGGATAGTCTAAAATTAGAATATTATCCTATTTAATTCTCAGCAACCCTGCGGATAGTGTATATACAATTTAACAATTGTTAACAGTGTATTATTGCTGAGATTTAAAGAGGTTAAATAATTTGCACAAGACTTTAGGCTCCATTTCAATATCAGAGAAGCCCAGTGAAATGACTTCACTTGGTCCTTCCTACCTGCTTCTAGACTGGCTAGCTAGGGTTCAGATCTCCTGTTAGCTTAGCCTTTCTTGGATCAGAGGGAAAGGTTGTTTGGGAGTTTATAGAAGAAGGTAGGAAAAGGGAGAGAGATACAGAAAGATAAGAATGAGACAAAAAGGGGTTGTTGAAAGTATGTTTAGAGGGAGCATCCTACTCTCCCATAAGGAGGACTTTGTCAGGATTTGGGATTAAGGCAGGCATGACAGTTAATGGCACCTGCAGAAACTGTAAGAGGGAATGCTTACCAGGCTGGGTGCATCAAGAAGACAAGACCATGTGAGTGGGCAGGCGTAAGGTCCTCCAGTTAGAATGGAAGTAGTTAGGTTGGGCACTGGACTGACTGGGACCTCAGTGGCAATTTAGGTGAGAAATGCTTGCCAATTGTCGTAGACTACTATGCATAGTGCCAGGCATGTATTGAGTAGTAACACCTGTTGAATGAATGAAGGAGGAATGTATGGAAACCTACAAAGAGATGTGACATTAAAAAAATTAAGTGGGTCATTTAAAAATTAGAATATTATACTATTTATTTCTCAACAACTCTGTGGACAGTGTATACACAATGTTAACAATTGTTAATAATGTACTATTGCTAAGATTTAAAGAGGTTAAATAATTTGTACAGGACCTTTATGATTAATAATCTGGAATATGAATCTATGCTATGAGTTGAATTGTGTCCTCTGAAAACATGTGCCAACTTTGTTATCTTCCATTTTGTGATGTGCTGCAAATCCTGACCTCTATGTGTTAATGAAATGTTTCAACAAACTGATGCAGCCAGTGCTAGAGGTACTCATTCATCTATGCCAAGAAATTTGGAAGACAGCTACTTGGGCAACCAATTGGAAGAGATCCATATTTGTGCCCATTCCAAAGAAAGGTGACCGAACAGAAAGTGAAGATCATCTAATGATATCATTAATATCACATGCAAGAAAAATTTTGCTAAGATAATTTTAAAATGATGGGGAACTTCCAGAAATTCAAGGCAAATTCAGAAGACAACACAGCACTAGAGATATAATTGCTGACATTAGATGGATCTTGGCTGAAGGCAGAGAATACTTAAAAGATGTTTACTTGTACTTTATTTACTATGCAAAGGTATTCAACTGTGTGGATCATAACAAATTATGGATAATTGTGAAGTATGCAAGTTTCAGAATAGTTGTGTTCACGAGGAACCTGTACATAGATCAAGAGGCAGTCATTCCAACAGAACAAGTGAATATTGAATGTCTTAAAAGTTAGGAGTGATACACATCAGGGTTGTATCCTTTCACCATACTTATTCAATTTGTATGTTGAGCAAATAATCCGAGAAGCTGGATTATATGAAGAAGAAAATGGCATCAGGATTGGAGGAAGACTTATTAACAACACACAATATGCAGATGATACAACCTTGCTTGCTAGAAGTGAAGAAGACTTGAAATACTTCCTGATGAATCTTCATTAATGTGGAGGATGATCAAAAAAAGAGGAAAACTCTCAAGGAGATGGATTGATACAGTGCCAGTAACAATGGGCTCAAACATAACAATTGTGAGGATAGTACAGGATCAGGCAATATTTCCTTCTGTTATGAGTTGAAGCTGACAGGAAAAATGTGTTAATGAGGCAGGATTAGGTTAGATTAATGAGATTTAGGTTATGTTGTTAATGAGTCAGAATTAGGTAGGATGCAAACACCCTGACTCATAGATCTGATCT